AAGGTAATGAAAAAGAATGAAAGCATGAAAAATGCGAGAAAAAAATGAAGAGGAAGGAATGAGAATGAAAGAAAAAGAGTCGAAAGTAAAGGAAAGAATTGAAAGAAAATGGCAAAGAAAAAGAATCGTAGAGAGAAAGAATAAAGATAAGGAAAATGGTAAAAGGAATAGAAAGGGAAAAATGAAGATAAGGAAAAGTAGAAAAAGGAGTCAAAAGAATGAATAAGAAATGAAAACAAAGAAATAATGAAGTTGAAAAGAATGAAAGTAAGAGAAAGTAATAGAAATGTGAAAAGCAAAAAAAAAGAATGAAAAGGAGAATGAAACAAAAGAAGAGGTAAGTGAAAAGGAAAAAGCAAAAAGAAAGAACAAAGAAAACAATGAAAGAAAGAATAACGGAAGAAAAGAACAAGAAAATAAAAGGGTAAAGGTAATAAATACAAAAGAAAATGATAGAAATAAATAAAAATAAAAAAATATAAGGTATAAGCAAAAATATAAAAATAAATAAAATTGAGAAAAACAAATAGTAAATGAAATTAAATAGGATTGTAAAGAGTAAATGAAAGTGAAATATAAATAAAACTATAATAAATAAGCTGAAGTTTATAAAGAAATAAAAATATATAAAAGTGTCAGAATTGAACGAAAGTATGTGTGCAAAAAATATGAAAGTATAGGTAGGTAAAAAATAAATAGATATGAACTGAGTAAAAATGTATAATATGAAATGATGCAAGAAACATAAAACATGAACGAATACAAAAAATAGAAAAAGATAGAAATACGAAATTGAAGCAGTGAATATTAGATAATTCTTGATAAATTCACAAAATAAAAAATGAAAAAATGAAACTGTAACCCTTCAAACTCGGTGTAAGCTTCTATTTCAGCTACATTGATTAAGTCGACCATTTCTGGATCATGACATAGCTATTTTTAGTCATCTGTTTATCATATACTAATGAATATTGGCAAATTACACACGAGATCATCATTTTTGTCTTCTAAACTGTCATTTGATAAAACTGACAATAAACATAAAATATTAGTATTTGACAAAATATCCCGATATCATAAGTTATTAGCTACTTTGTATCCAATAACTATATATTATCAATCACCAAATATCATCCTAGATATTACAGTATTTATAAATTGCTTCACAAATGAGTGCTGCCAAGGGAAATTCACAGTTCAGACTTTCAATTGTATTTTGTACCAGACACAATTGCTAATAAATTAGAATAGATTGTGTCTGGTACAAAATATAATTGAAAGTCCATTCTGTGAATTTCTCTTAGCAGCATTCAAATGTAAATTAACCCAGATAATGTAAATAGTGCAAAACAACCATGTCCCATGGTACACTAGTTAAAATTAGAGATTCAATATAGTGAATTTTTTAATTTCAACTAGTGATAAATCTTTGTAACCTTGAATTTCCAGTACTGGCATAGTTCAAAATTTGCTTGGTTGACTATATGTAGTGATGGTAGGTTCTGGCTTTTTTATAACACGTTTTTTTATAATTTTTTGAATATTTGCAGGTGTGAATTCTTTCATGGACCAATTCTGGGTAAAGGTCTTGCATAAATGCATCCCACTTTGGTCTCATTATTAAACCAAGACCACTCGTGCCAGTTCCAGATTCCTGTTATTGTACCCAGTGCTATATCATTATTACCTGTATAATTAAAAATACATTAATTACTATATAGTAACAAGTTGTATAGCTTGACATAATAAAGACGCATTCAGGTGAAAAAAAAAATTTATTGTCTATTTATATGTTATAAATATAGAGTTATATACTTACGCTGATTTTGATCTGGCTCTAAATGAGCAACATGTATCCCTCCTAGATCTTTTATCGCTTCTTCAATATCTTCACCAGAGTTTATATCATGACCAAATTTGATATACCTCTTAATAGCATGAGTTATCTGTGAAAAAATTGTTGTAAAAATTACAATAATAATTTTAGGTTCATATTATTCCTCAAACAAATAAATATTTCAACAATTACAACTCGTTCTTGTTATGATGAAGATTTGATATAGTGAAGATTTTTGAATTATGAATTATTAAACTTCAACTCGATATATTGAAGTATATATGGGGTTTTCAATAGAAACAGCTCATTTTTACTTTTTTTAAAAAATTCATTTTTTTTGATTTTCTGATAAATATACTTGGTAAAAAGATTTACTATAAATCACAAGATCAAATTATATAATAAAA